GTGTCAACGCGCTGTAAGGGGTTAATAATATTCAAAAATAGTTTCTTTGCTTTAACTTAAAAAGTAAAAAAGCCCTTTCCCCCATTCTTTTTGCAAAATATTTATCTCAGTCTTCTCAATTTGAACAGCCAAAAAAAGATTTTTCGCATTTTTCGTAAAAATCCACCTACCATGATACCTTAAACCAGGAACACCAGAATAGCAGCATATTGCTAACCACTAACTGCTAACATCTTCCAGCTGAAAAACTAGCTGTTATCTGTGGAAAATTATACTGAAATCCAACTGTAAACATGTACCAGCAGATGGCGTAGTGCATGCGTAAAACAAGTTCGTGATACGCAAATGTTTTACATACTAGGGAGGTGACAGGAAAAGATGTCACGAGCACCGTAAAAGTTTTCAAAAAAGATCAATAACTTTAAAAAACGCGTGGCTACCCCTACATTTTATGTTATGAAATGGAAGTGGCAAGCCTAGTCAACACGTGATTAGTTTCTGGTTGTGNATCTCAGTCTTCTCAATTTGAACAGCCAAAAAAAGATTTTTCGCATTTTTCGTAAAAATCCACCTACCATAATACCTTAATCAAACTGGACCAATGGACTAGGGCTCTTAATTTATTGCACCAGACCAAACCATATTGAGAGAGCGTGCAGAATAACATATTCCCAGGAAAATTGTTCTTTTGGTCCATTCACATCACTTGTTTGTCACCTTGCAAAAACCATAATGGGAAGAAATTGTTGCTAAGGTCATTAAAAGCTGGCTCAAAACCCTGTTACTCCATCAAGATGCTAGGGAATAACTTACTTGTTATACTTTCGTAATCATTGGAAAATACTGTGCGCCGTCTTCCTAGTCTCATGGTGCCTCCTAACTGACCTGGGTTATGTTCAGGCATTTCAATAACCTAGCAAAGTGATAAACATAACACACGATTGAATACGAGTACACTAGAACAAAGTCAAGATGTCCAATATGTCTTGGGTAAAAAAAGAAGCAAAATCAAGCTCATATAAAGCGAACAATGCAGCAAAATCAGAGTATTTAGCTATAAACAGTGCACAAACTAGGCGTGCCTTTGTTTAAAAGATAAGAAAATAAAAGGTACACAAGTAGTCAGAAATTAATTATTACCACAGGATGTGAGGTGTCTGGTTCATTTTCTGTGGAATTTGCATCTGAAAAACAAGATAAGATAAATTTACTTTTCCTGTGTAGTTTCTCACAAAGCAGTCGGTAAACCAAAGTTCAGGGTTGTCACAAAGTTTGAAGGTAAACCACTTTTTTTGTTGGAGAAGGTTGCTGATTTGCCATCTTCTTTGAAAGAATCAGAAGATACAGTACCGGTCAAAGGGACTGCAGCATTATGCGCACATTAAGCACGTGTACTACACGCACATTACATGTAGTGTCCACGCACCTTACATGCACCTTACACGCAAATAACCAAAAATGCGTGTAATTACACGCAATAAACGTGATATTGCATGTAAAATTACTCGCAGTCAGTCAACTGGAACTCATTAAGTGCGTGTAATGAGAACGAAATATTAAAAGTACGTGTAATGAAAACAAAACATTTACCGTACTGAACTGCACGGCGATACAGTTTAGTCTTTTGCCTTCTTGCTTCTGGTCATCAAACGTTTCCAATAGAATCGACCAGTTTCCTTAAACCGGCTTACCACTTTACAGTAAAAGTGTTTTTCCATTATAGTTTCAACAAGTGGTGCCAGCGGCGGGCAGGCATGCTAGCTAAGATTCACTGAGATAACAGAACATAAACATATGTCACTTTCAATTTTAAATTACAGCAATCAGTGTACTTTAAATCAATCTGAAGATTCATTAAAAATATTTCGTACTCTGAAGCGTTCGGAGTTAACCGGTGTTCAAAAGCTTTTCCCGTCATGCTTTTTTTTTCTATTCGTGAGAAACAACAAGGGCGTCAGCGACTGACGAACTGACGCTTAACGGACACGAAACAACAGCAAAACACAATATTTCACATGAGATTTTCAGTTAATTTTTAAACATCAGTTATCCTTGTTTAAGTTTAAAAAGCCTTTGAAGATTCGTCACTAATAGCTAAGAAGCGAATGTTCTCTGTCTGAAAACATTGTTTTGATCTGATAAAAATGAAATTCGATCTGTTTCTTGAAGAGCATTGCCTAGCACATGACCAAAATCTACCCCAGGCAGAAATCCTGTGCAGTCTGAGAGTTGTTTTGAAATTAGTTACTGCTTCATTTTATTCCATACACGAATACATATACAGACACATGACGATCTGTCAACCAGACTTAACCCACAGATGAAAATCCCAATGTTTTTCTCAAACTTAGCTTATCGGTAGTCTGAGTGAAATGTATTGTAATTTAAGCCAAATAATCGAACAAACCGGGTGTAAACATTGCGCATTAACACACGAATCTGATGAATTGAAAATTAACGAATTCACTTAGATTTTGTTGAAAAAAAATTTTGATTCTTCGCTGTTTAAGATTAAGAGAGAATCCGTGAGTTTCTGTTTGAATCCCTATTTCATTGTTATCGAAGGTACAGCAGTTGAAAATGACATTTCTTGCGTGGGTGAACATTATTACCTTGTGACGTACATCATATGTGTTTTAATGTAAACGAAAGCTCAGAGATCTAAGAATTAAGTTTTGATGTTAAGCAGAAGTGCGGACTGCTACAGATTAAGAAAGAGTACTTGTTTGATAGATGCTCAAGCTAGTCCAGTAATTTAGCAATGCTTGTCGGCTTTTAAATTTACTTTTTGTTGTGAACATTGAAAGTCCCGTGTTTCGAATACAAGTTACTAGTGGCTTTTTGTTTTGCAAAATACATGCAACTGTGTGTATGAATAACAAAGGTTTCTTGCTCCAATTAAAATACATGCATTTGCGTAAAATTACACGCAAATGCGTGTAACTACCAGATCAGTAAATTTTACACGCATGTAATTACACGCACCGTCCACGCACTATCCACGCACTGTCCTCGAATACTACACGCAGACTACACGCATTTTACGTGCATGTAGGTGCTGCAATCCCTTTGACCGGTACTATTGGCTTAGCAGAGTAGCTGGCCAAGATCATGAGGTAGATGGCGATTTTTGCTGGTAGCTGGATACTTTTGCCAACCCTGAAATTTGTGAAAATCTAAGCAGCACAGCTCATGGTCATTCATTTTCTCTCCTGAATTATTACAGAGGACTGTTACCTTTCCATCCCAGGATATTTCTGGCAAACTCAATAACAGCTAACTGCATACCATAACAAACACCTATCAGAGAAATCGAGAAAATGGCTCACTGTCGGTTGGCTAATTTTAATATCACGTAGCACTAACAATTGCTACATGTATAATGTAGGGCAAGTGGTCTATGTTCAAGCCTAGGTTCCTCACCAGGCTTCCAATCAACTCTTGACTAGTTTCTATGGCGTGACGTGACTAGGAGCCTCTTACTACTCTCCCTTAAAAAGTTGGTTTACACTAATCACGGAGTCGTAGTTGGAGTCGTAATCACAAGCATAGAGCGATGTGATGTAGTGAAAATCAAACCAACAGAGCCTGAAACAGAACACTAATTCACTGATTCTGCTTATGACTCTGTTGCTTATGATCTTATGAAAACTAGATTTTTGGAGTCTGAAGCAGAAGCTGAAGAATAAACCAATCATAATATTCAATTCCGGGCCTTGTGATTAGTTGGTTCTTTCACTCCTGTTTCCGTCTCCGACAATCTAGTTAATTTACTGGATCACAAGCAACAGAGTCGTAAACAGGATCAGAAGAAATGGAAACGTTCTGATTCTTCTGACTCTGATTCCGCTGAGCTTATGACTCTGCTTACAACTCCAATTTTTGATTTTCACTAGATCCTCAGCTCTCTTAAAAATCCAACTAAGACTCTGACTCCGTCACTAGTGAAAACCAGCCTTCAGTGCAATGCTAATCATCTGCAGGTTAATCCCAGCATTTGGTCAGATTTTTGCCAACAATTCACCAGTATCCATTCATACTCCTAGAGTGCAGGTAATGTGTCTTTCTCAAGAACATAACACAAAGGCCCAACACCAGGTAGGGCTATACTGAACCTCTCAAACTAGGCCTCTGCGGTCTTACAATGAGGCAAATACATATGTCGACTGCATATCTCCCATGGAAGGTGTTTGTCCTGAATCTCGAAAGTTCACAGCTTTGCAACCAAAATATATGAAAAACATCACATGATAAACTCATAACAACATCATACCTAAATAAGGTTTTTTCATCTTTCTTCCCCATTCAGCAGCAGCAATTTTTCCCTCTGTGCCTCTCTTTCCAAATCCCCCAGGAACTAAGATACCACTGAAAATTGTTGAAAGAAAAATGTTGAAATGACCTAAGGTCATAACGCTCGGGCTGTGCTCAAGACCTTGGCAAAATTTTCCAAGATACAGATCACTTCCTGGCAAATAACATAATTATATAACCTTTGTTACAATGGAATAAGGAAACCAGCATGGTGAATTTGCTGGTTGACATCAGGACTACGATAGTTAAACAAGAGCTGCTAAAAACAATTTATTTTCAATATACTCACTCGCAACTGCAAAGCTTCTGCCAAGCTTCATGATATTTTACAGGATCTCTTTCCTGCATTACCTTTTCAATATTTTCAGACTCCACCCACTGCAAGGACACAAAGGTCATTTAAAGTCAAAGAACACATTATGCAATGCAAGGGGCTATCCTGACATTGAAAAGAAGATACATCAGGTAGATATGACATCTGTCAATAATACAGTACAATTCAAGAGATTATGAAATGCAATTCAAGAAGTGGTGTTACACAAGTTTTTTTAAGGTGACAAGTCTCTCATGCTACATGTACGTACACATTCATTGTGTTTCAGTTTTTACCTAAATTCTTTCAAGCCTGGAATAGCTAAAACACTAAATCTTACAAGAACAGCAGAGTAAAAAAAGTAAAAAAACCCACCACAACTTTCAGACATCTGTTGCAATGAAGGGATGCATGTTTGAGAGCTTTAAGAACGGAAATATACGCATCCTCTAGTTTAGTGTATTTTCCAACCAGAGCAATCTTTACTTCATCTAGAACTCGCTCCTCTCTAGAAAATTAACAGAGAAACTTATATTATTGGCAATCACTATTTTTAACCCATCAACCCCAAGATTAAAGTTTCCATGTTATGAAGTGACCCTGGATGGGTTTCCAACCTGCAACAAGCACAATACGAATCTATTTCTGAACCTAAAAAGCCTAGTTTTTCAGCAGGCAACAACCGTTTAAGAAACTTTTTTCAAACCAACTTTTATGTGGGTGATCATTCTATTTCATCATTCAGTAAGGTTACTTTACTGAAAGAGCTCAACTGAAGTACAGCTAACTGTGTACATGTAACTACAGCACTTGTCACAAGTTGCTTTTGCTGCTCAGCTGTACCTCTCAGCTAGTTCTCTCCACTGCATCATAAAATGACGTGGTTTGGGGGACTTGATCTCCATTTTAAGTCTCTTGGAAAAGAGTGGCACAATTCCTTGGCTTGACAACAACAATGGAACTCTGTAAATAGATTTACAGTCATGGACATCGATCACCTGAAAATAAACAAAATACAGTCAGTTATGCGAGGCCTTAACTACGCACTGTTGCCATAAAAAAACTATATACATGTTCATGTATATCTCAGTGTTCTCAAGGTCAATGGACAACCTGTTTCACAGAAAACAGTTCATCAAACGAAGAGCTAAGGATTTTAAGTACACAAATGAAATGTGAGTCAATTGCACAACTAGTTGCACACCTTCAAGGTTCACAATCGACAGTAAAATCTACTGAATCCTTCATGAATGAAAACCTTCTTGTCAATAGGGTCTAGCATTTTTAGTGCATTATCAAGGCGAATTTTCCTTTGCTAATCTGCAAGTGGACACTGTATTAACCCTTTCTCGCGGCAAATTAACAAATCCTTACCATAACCTAGCTACAACTTTCTCATAATAGGTCAATTCTGCATAATTATTGTCAACTCCATCAATCTAAAAACCTGAATTTCATCGCATACAGGTATCAATATCCAGAAATGCTAACATCAAATCCAAAATTTCTCACCTGCTCTGGAGGCACATGACAGAACAAAGACACCTTTTGCTTGACAGCATTAGTGACAGGATGCTTGCATCTACACATAATCTGTGATTTGGGTACTGGGAGTTAGTGATTAACTGTGCAATTTACTCTTTCACAAGCTTGAAAAGTTATTTTACATCTGGCTTAAAAGGCCTATGTACACATGTGAAAGCACTTCTTCTTAAAGAGGGCGTTTTCCCTCACATGGCCTTCAGTCATGCAAATTTGTTGGCACATTGGAAAGGATTCACATAAGAAAAGAGTTCAACTTTAACCCCCACAGGATTGGTTTGATACACCAACATGGCCACCGTTTCATTGTTTTGGAACACTAATATGGCTGCCATGATATCATGTGACCACACTCTAATTTGACCTTACCCTTATAACATTACAAAAATATTAAGCCCACAATTTAAGGAAAAACACCGACTCACCAAATCAGGAGTCAAACCCAAACCACGCAGTTCTCGCACACTACTCTGTGTTGGCTTTGTTTTCTGCTCTCCAGTTGAGTCAGGCTAAAAAATTACAAAAACATATGAGTTCATTAGTTAACTTGCTAATTAATATCTCCTTCCAAATATGAGCTCAAGCATTTTTTAAGTTTATGCACAAAACCCTCTGATGATAAGCCTGACTGAACATAAGCCTACCAAAGCCAGCCTTTTCAACAAATAAAAACCTAGAGCTTGTTATTAAAATTGTTTGGTACAACTGTATTGGCAGGCTTCTCAACTTTTATCATCTTGTGTTTTCTTTGAGAATTTGGAGAGGTATGTTAGGAGGCACTGTGACCAATCAATGTTTCATGAACTGCAAACATTCTGGGGTCTGTAGACGAAAGGAAACCTCAAGTTAACACTTCAGAAGAAGAACAGAGAAGAAAACTTAACCTGCACTGACAAGGATGGACAAGAATGAGGAAGATTTAAAAGACATACTTTGACAAGTGTGCAAAATTTAATCTAAGATGAACCATCAGTGATGTAGATTCTTTAATACATATGTGTGTAGTAGGATTAGATAAAGATGTTTAGTTTAATTCAGTTACAGGAAAATGTGTTAATTCAGTTATTATAAGAAACAGGGTTCGTACCCTTTTTGAGAAACAAATTTCCAGGACTCTAAAATTCACATTAACCCTTTCACTCCCAAGATCTCATTGTTAATTCTCCTTACTGTCTGCCATACATTTCATATTTTTTACTTGAGTTTAACAGATATCCAGAACTTTCCAGGACTAGTAGCCTTTTCCAGGACTTTCCAGTCCTGGAAAATGCCACAGTAAAATTCCAGGACTTTCCAGGTTTTCCAGGACCCATACAAACCCTGACAAAAATGTGTTATAATCAAATAAGCAAGGAAACACTCCTAATGCTTGCAATACCTACCTCAGGGATAAGGCTGACATGAACCACACAAAAGTTGTCTCTCCCAACTCGGAACTGAAATTGTCGAAAGGCCTCAATAAAAGGCATGCCCTCTATATCTCCAACAGTTCCTCCAAGCTAAAGAGACAATTTATCAGACAAATGTGATGAGTGACTCATATGTAACATTTAATAAGCTCACAAGGTTCCAAATTATAAACAATTCAGGGTTCTCCTAAACGTTTGAAGTACGAGTAGACGGACAACAATTTGTACATTTACAGTAGTGGGCAGCAGTGAGCATCCAGAACCTCGCAAAGGAAAAAAGCACATTCTTACTTGAACATACATGTATTATTTNGCTTACCACTTTACAGTAAAAGTGTTTTTCCATTATAGTTTCAACAAGTGGTGCCAGCGGCGGGCAGGCATGCTAGCTAAGATTCACTGAGATAACAGAACATAAACATATGTCACTTTCAATTTTAAATTACAGCAATCAGTGTACTTTAAATCAATCTGAAGATTCATTAAAAATATTTCGTACTCTGAAGCGTTCGGAGTTAACCAGTGTTCAAAAGCTTTTCCCGTCATGCTTTTTTTTTCTATTCGTGAGAAACAACAAGGGCGTCAGCGACTGACGAACTGACGCTTAACGGACACGAAACAACAGCAAAACACAATATTTCACATGAGATTTTCAGTTAATTTTTAAACATCAGTTATCCTTGTTTAAGTTTAAAAAGCCTTTGAAGATTCGTCACTAATAGCTAAGAAGCGAATGTTCTCTGTCTGAAAACATTGTTTTGATCTGATAAAAATGAAATTCGATCTGTTTCTTGAAGAGCATTGCCTAGCACATGACCAAAATCTACCCCAGGCAGAAATCCTGTGCAGTCTGAGAGTTGTTTTGAAATTAGTTACTGCTTCATTTTATTCCATACACGAATACATATACAGACACATGACGATCTGTCAACCGGACTTAACCCACAGATGAAAATCCCAATGTTTTTCTCAAACTTAGCTTATCGGTAGTCTGAGTGAAATGTATTGTAATTTAAGCCAAATAATCGAACAAACCGGGTGTAAACATTGCGCATTAACACACGAATCTGATGAATTGAAAATTAACGAATTCACTTAGATTTTGTTGAAAAAAAATTTTGATTCTTCGCTGTTTAAGATTAAGAGAGAATCCGTGAGTTTCTGTTTGAATCCCTATTTCATTGTTATCGAAGGTACAGCAGTTGAAAATGACATTTCTTGCGTGGGTGAACATTATTACCTTGTGACGTACATCATATGTGTTTTAATGTAAACGAAAGCTCAGAGATCTAAGAATTAAGTTTTGATGTTAAGCAGAAGTGCGGACTGCTACAGATTAAGAAAGAGTACTTGTTTGATAGATGCTCAAGCTAGTCCAGTAATTTAGCAATGCTTGTCGGCTTTTAAATTTACTTTTTGTTGTGAACATTGAAAGTCCCGTGTTTCGAATACAAGTTACTAGTGGCTTTTTGTTTTGCAAAATACATGCAACTGTGTGTATGAATAACAAAGGTTTCTTGCTCCAATTAAAATACATGCATTTGCGTAAAATTACACGCAAATGCGTGTAACTACCAGATCAGTAAATTTTACACGCATGTAATTACACGCACCGTCCACGCACTATCCACGCACTGTCCTCGAATACTACACGCAGACTACACGCATTTTACGTGCATGTAGGTGCTGCAATCCCTTTGACCGGTACTATTGGCTTAGCAGAGTAGCTGGCCAAGATCATGAGGTAGATGGCGATTTTTGCTGGTAGCTGGATACTTTTGCCAACCCTGAAATTTGTGAAAATCTAAGCAGCACAGCTCATGGTCATTCATTTTCTCTCCTGAATTATTACAGAGGACTGTTACCTTTCCATCCCAGGATATTTCTGGCAAACTCAATAACAGCTAACTGCATACCATAACAAACACCTATCAGAGAAATCGAGAAAATGGCTCACTGTCGGTTGGCTAATTTTAATATCACGTAGCACTAACAATTGCTACATGTATAATGTAGGGCAAGTGGTCTATGTTCAAGCCTAGGTTCCTCACCAGGCTTCCAATCAACTCTTGACTAGTTTCTATGGCGTGACGTGACTAGGAGCCTCTTACTACTCTCCCTTAAAAAGTTGGTTTACACTAATCACGGAGTCGTAGTTGGAGTCGTAATCACAAGCATAGAGCGATGTGATGTAGTGAAAATCAAACCAACAGAGCCTGAAACAGAACACTAATTCACTGATTCTGCTTATGACTCTGTTGCTTATGATCTTATGAAAACTAGATTTTTGGAGTCTGAAGCAGAAGCTGAAGAATAAACCAATCATAATATTCAATTCCGGGCCTTGTGATTAGTTGGTTCTTTCACTCCTGTTTCCGTCTCCGACAATCTAGTTAATTTACTGGATCACAAGCAACAGAGTCGTAAACAGGATCAGAAGAAATGGAAACGTTCTGATTCTTCTGACTCTGATTCCGCTGAGCTTATGACTCTGCTTACAACTCCAATTTTTGATTTTCACTAGATCCTCAGCTCTCTTAAAAATCCAACTAAGACTCTGACTCCGTCACTAGTGAAAACCAGCCTTCAGTGCAATGCTAATCATCTGCAGGTTAATCCCAGCATTTGGTCAGATTTTTGCCAACAATTCACCAGTATCCATTCATACTCCTAGAGTGCAGGTAATGTGTCTTTCTCAAGAACATAACACAAAGGCCCAACACCAGGTAGGGCTATACTGAACCTCTCAAACTAGGCCTCTGCGGTCTTACAATGAGGCAAATACATATGTCGACTGCATATCTCCCATGGAAGGTGTTTGTCCTGAATCTCGAAAGTTCACAGCTTTGCAACCAAAATATATGAAAAACATCACATGATAAACTCATAACAACATCATACCTAAATAAGGTTTTTTCATCTTTCTTCCCCATTCAGCAGCAGCAATTTTTCCCTCTGTGCCTCTCTTTCCAAATCCCCCAGGAACTAAGATACCACTGAAAATTGTTGAAAGAAAAATGTTGAAATGACCTAAGGTCATAACGCTCGGGCTGTGCTCAAGACCTTGGCAAAATTTTCCAAGATACAGATCACTTCCTGGCAAATAACATAATTATATAACCTTTGTTACAATGGAATAAGGAAACCAGCATGGTGAATTTGCTGGTTGACATCAGGACTACGATAGTTAAACAAGAGCTGCTAAAAACAATTTATTTTCAATATACTCACTCGCAACTGCAAAGCTTCTGCCAAGCTTCATGATATTTTACAGGATCTCTTTCCTGCATTACCTTTTCAATATTTTCAGACTCCACCCACTGCAAGGACACAAAGGTCATTTAAAGTCAAAGAACACATTATGCAATGCAAGGGGCTATCCTGACATTGAAAAGAAGATACATCAGGTAGATATGACATCTGTCAATAATACAGTACAATTCAAGAGATTATGAAATGCAATTCAAGAAGTGGTGTTACACAAGTTTTTTTAAGGTGACAAGTCTCTCATGCTACATGTACGTACACATTCATTGTGTTTCAGTTTTTACCTAAATTCTTTCAAGCCTGGAATAGCTAAAACACTAAATCTTACAAGAACAGCAGAGTAAAAAAAGTAAAAAAACCCACCACAACTTTCAGACATCTGTTGCAATGAAGGGATGCATGTTTGAGAGCTTTAAGAACGGAAATATACGCATCCTCTAGTTTAGTGTATTTTCCAACCAGAGCAATCTTTACTTCATCTAGAACTCGCTCCTCTCTAGAAAATTAACAGAGAAACTTATATTATTGGCAATCACTATTTTTAACCCATCAACCCCAAGATTAAAGTTTCCATGTTATGAAGTGACCCTGGATGGGTTTCCAACCTGCAACAAGCACAATACGAATCTATTTCTGAACCTAAAAAGCCTAGTTTTTCAGCAGGCAACAACCGTTTAAGAAACTTTTTTCAAACCAACTTTTATGTGGGTGATCATTCTATTTCATCATTCAGTAAGGTTACTTTACTGAAAGAGCTCAACTGAAGTACAGCTAACTGTGTACATGTAACTACAGCACTTGTCACAAGTTGCTTTTGCTGCTCAGCTGTACCTCTCAGCTAGTTCTCTCCACTGCATCATAAAATGACGTGGTTTGGGGGACTTGATCTCCATTTTAAGTCTCTTGGAAAAGAGTGGCACAATTCCTTGGCTTGACAACAACAATGGAACTCTGTAAATAGATTTACAGTCATGGACATCGATCACCTGAAAATAAACAAAATACAGTCAGTTATGCGAGGCCTTAACTACGCACTGTTGCCATAAAAAAACTATATACATGTTCATGTATATCTCAGTGTTCTCAAGGTCAATGGACAACCTGTTTCACAGAAAACAGTTCATCAAACGAAGAGCTAAGGATTTTAAGTACACAAATGAAATGTGAGTCAATTGCACAACTAGTTGCACACCTTCAAGGTTCACAATCGACAGTAAAATCTACTGAATCCTTCATGAATGAAAACCTTCTTGTCAATAGGGTCTAGCATTTTTAGTGCATTATCAAGGCGAATTTTCCTTTGCTAATCTGCAAGTGGACACTGTATTAACCCTTTCTCGCGGCAAATTAACAAATCCTTACCATAACCTAGCTACAACTTTCTCATAATAGGTCAATTCTGCATAATTATTGTCAACTCCATCAATCTAAAAACCTGAATTTCATCGCATACAGGTATCAATATCCAGAAATGCTAACATCAAATCCAAAATTTCTCACCTGCTCTGGAGGCACATGACAGAACAAAGACACCTTTTGCTTGACAGCATTAGTGACAGGATGCTTGCATCTACACATAATCTGTGATTTGGGTACTGGGAGTTAGTGATTAACTGTGCAATTTACTCTTTCACAAGCTTGAAAAGTTATTTTACATCTGGCTTAAAAGGCCTATGTACACATGTGAAAGCACTTCTTCTTAAAGAGGGCGTTTTCCCTCACATGGCCTTCAGTCATGCAAATTTGTTGGCACATTGGAAAGGATTCACATAAGAAAAGAGTTCAACTTTAACCCCCACAGGATTGGTTTGATACACCAACATGGCCACCGTTTCATTGTTTTGGAACACTAATATGGCTGCCATGATATCATGTGACCACACTCTAATTTGACCTTACCCTTATAACATTACAAAAATATTAAGCCCACAATTTAAGGAAAAACACCGACTCACCAAATCAGGAGTCAAACCCAAACCACGCAGTTCTCGCACACTACTCTGTGTTGGCTTTGTTTTCTGCTCTCCAGTTGAGTCAGGCTAAAAAATTACAAAAACATATGAGTTCATTAGTTAACTTGCTAATTAATATCTCCTTCCAAATATGAGCTCAAGCATTTTTTAAGTTTATGCACAAAACCCTCTGATGATAAGCCTGACTGAACATAAGCCTACCAAAGCCAGCCTTTTCAACAAATAAAAACCTAGAGCTTGTTATTAAAATTGTTTGGTACAACTGTATTGGCAGGCTTCTCAACTTTTATCATCTTGTGTTTTCTTTGAGAATTTGGAGAGGTATGTTAGGAGGCACTGTGACCAATCAATGTTTCATGAACTGCAAACATTCTGGGGTCTGTAGACGAAAGGAAACCTCAAGTTAACACTTCAGAAGAAGAACAGAGAAGAAAACTTAACCTGCACTGACAAGGATGGACAAGAATGAGGAAGATTTAAAAGACATACTTTGACAAGTGTGCAAAATTTAATCTAAGATGAACCATCAGTGATGTAGATTCTTTAATACATATGTGTGTAGTAGGATTAGATAAAGATGTTTAGTTTAATTCAGTTACAGGAAAATGTGTTAATTCAGTTATTATAAGAAACAGGGTTCGTACCCTTTTTGAGAAACAAATTTCCAGGACTCTAAAATTCACATTAACCCTTTCACTCCCAAGATCTCATTGTTAATTCTCCTTACTGTCTGCCATACATTTCATATTTTTTACTTGAGTTTAACAGATATCCAGAACTTTCCAGGACTAGTAGCCTTTTCCAGGACTTTCCAGTCCTGGAAAATGCCACAGTAAAATTCCAGGACTTTCCAGGTTTTCCAGGACCCATACAAACCCTGACAAAAATGTGTTATAATCAAATAAGCAAGGAAACACTCCTAATGCTTGCAATACCTACCTCAGGGATAAGGCTGACATGAACCACACAAAAGTTGTCTCTCCCAACTCGGAACTGAAATTGTCGAAAGGCCTCAATAAAAGGCATGCCCTCTATATCTCCAACAGTTCCTCCAAGCTAAAGAGACAATTTATCAGACAAATGTGATGAGTGACTCATATGTAACATTTAATAAGCTCACAAGGTTCCAAATTATAAACAATTCAGGGTTCTCCTAAACGTTTGAAGTACGAGTAGACGGACAACAATTTGTACATTTACAGTAGTGGGCAGCAGTGAGCATCCAGAACCTCGCAAAGGAAAAAAGCACATTCTTACTTGAACATACATGTATTATTTCAGTTTTTCTCAGACACCATGAACCATTTTATGACATGTAATGCCAACTGCACCCTCTTGGTCAAACATTTTGGTTGCCACCATAAAACATAACCATTCTTGAGTTAGCTTTTCCAGTAAGAATAGATCAAGGAAGAGCAATATTTTGAGGATGCTTACTCACCTCAATAAGACAAACATCAGCCTGGGTAGCTTTTTCTACAGGCTCACCAGACACCTTTGTGACCCAGTCTTGAATAGCATCTGTTATATGAGGGACCACTATGTACATGGACAGGAGAAATAGAAGAACGTCAAAAATAATAAAACAAACAAAAAAATTAAACTATCAAGTCTTGGGGATGGGACACAAAGAACCCGTCTTGATTTCAATCTTTTCTTACAACATAACCATTCAAGCTATAGTAGCAAAACATTGCAACTTTTGTGTCAATTGTTTGGTCATGTGATTCGTTGTTTCTATGGCAACCATGTTGTCAAAATAATGACATGTTATAAATCACTACAAAACACAGATACACGTGCATCGCACCTTGAACTGTTTTGCCCAGGTAGTCGCCACGTCTTTCCTTGTCAATCACGCTCTGGTATATTTTGCCTGTTGTGATATTGTTATTTCGACGAAGAGTAACATCCAGGAACCTTTCGTAGTTACCAAGGTCCAGGTCTACTTCACCTCCATCATCCAAAACAAAAACTTCTCCTGTAATGTGAAAATTTAAATAAACAAAGTTAAGGTCAAAATGCATTACAAAAGGAGACATCCTTGGTACCAGATAGTGTCCACTGAGGAGAGGTGTCTGTTTGTTGGCTTTGTTAATTGTCAAACGTTTTATATCTGAGCCTCTGACTCAGATATGGAGGGCACCCTTGTCCCACTTCTTCACATTAATAAATTGATTGATTGACTAATTGATCCATTGATTGATTGTGGAAGGTTAAAAGCGTATTATGGTCAAGATTGCGACTAGATGACTGATTACAGGTGTTCACCAACAGAAAACAAGGGCAATTGCAAAGATTTCAAAGACTTCAATCTTACGCTTTATTTCCCACAAAACATTCCTGAAAAATCTTTGCTTTTGTGATGAGCTACATTTATTTTCTTGAGTCTCTACCAGATGAGGGGAAGAGTTACAATTTAGGATCAACGATGAAATAAACCAATTTCAGGGTATTTTTTCTTTTTTCAGGGTCTTGCAAATATACTTTTTAAAGACCTCAAAAAGGATTTTTGTTACCCA